CTTCCCGGCTTCCCGTCATAGATAGATTTCAATGAAGCAGTCTTGCCGCGTGCCGGGCAAGATCTGGCTGTGAGTCTCAGGCAAGATGATGCCATAGGCAGGCCGGACAAGAAAATAAAATACCGCATCAATGAAGTCATGGGTTCCCCAATCTGTAATTTTATTCCAGTTCCAGCTCTGCCATGCGGCCTCCAAGCAAGAGTCACGAGTCTGACAGGAAGTCCAGCGCCCGCAACTTGCGCAGCGAGCTGATAAATAAAGCAAGCTCTGACCTTCCGTGCACATGCACCGTTTGCGTTCGAAGTTTGGATTCATTCACGCTGGATTCTCTTTGCCGTGCAGGTTTGGAGCCAGAGCGGTCTGCGAGCTTTTACCGGCTTGGCCCTTAGATATTCCACGTAAGCGAGCACCACTTCGGTCTGCGGAGAGCAATTCTTGGCCAAGAGTGTCGGCAGCATGTCTCGGAAGGGTGGGCTTGTTTGGTGGCCGCTTGCAAGCGGCTTGGTTAGGAGACAGCATGGGAAGCAGCGATATTGTTACGCGGCATCCGTCCGCGCTACAGCTTGACCCTCAGCGGTACAAAACACGTCTGTTTCGCTCAGTTCCTGGCATGTTGTGTGCAGTTGCGAAGTCTTCAGTGGTTGAGCGTGCAGGAGCCTCGTTTTCAAACCATAGCATGATGTATTTTTTATAGGAGTAAATGGGCCGACTGTGAGGTCGTGCCCGGGGAGTAAGATTTGAGCGAGCCGGGTCGACGACCGGGAGGTCGCGCCGTGCTTGCAAGACGTCCATCGGACGCCGGCCGTGAGGTCGTAAGAACACCGGCTGGGAAGCTGAGTCGTACTACGGCAAGAATTAGCAACTGCGGTTGCTAGCATTGATATCTTGGTGCGTGCCAGGCTTCGGAACCTGGCTACATGGGCCAGAGCCGGTCGGCGGAACCTGGCCAGATTCGTCAGAGCAGGCAGGTCGGCGGGGCGAACTCTGTGTGTCACCTGATCCGAAGTTCACAGTCAGTTGATGCGAGGTGTAGAATTTTGGGCCAGCGTCAGTGAGTGAGAGTCAGACATCTGAGAGGCTTGCAGCCTTTGCTATGCTGTTGGTTTGCATGGCAGGCAGGGACTACCAAGTGCCAACTGTTCGGTTCACGTACATTGTCAAATTCAGATGCTAGACTTCAAGACCTGAAGGTTTCTGGGTCTGTCCCTGGTGATGTGAGTGGAGTGCAAAGTCAGATTAGCAATGCAGCAAAGAAAGCCTAAACTGATGCGGCGTCTGGCTGAAGTTATCGCAAGCAAGATTACGTCGAAAATCCAGCGTGGGGTAGCCAGCAGCAGTTGGTAGCTTCAGTGTCCCACGGCAGGAAGCTCACCTAGCTTGCTGTCTTCTGCCTGTGGGAGACTCAGAGTTGACTCAAATGGACTCCAACTTCACGAGCTTGCTTGAACGGTTAACGTCAAGAGTTAGTGAGGGGGTCAAAGTTGTGTTATGGGCACAAAGTCGGTGCAGAAACAGTGCTTCATGTCATGCTCATGCTGAGGCTTGCACGAAGACAGCGTGTGGATGCAGGACTTCCCAGGCCCGAGTGTCGAGTCGGGGAAAGGAACTTAGCGGAAAACGTGTTCGGTAAAACTATATGATATAATAATAATATATATATATATATATATATATATACATAACAGACAGCGGTGCTATTAATCCCGGCCAGAGCGCTGCATGGATACTGTGCGTGGCGTGCGTTGGGCGGCCCGTTTCGGGAGTGTTACGCACTGGGAAGTTAAGCGCACGCATGCCGGGCACGTGCGGCGCGTGGTATGGGCGTGGACTTGAGGACCGGGCCGCGCATGGAACGTGGGCAGTGCGCAGGGGTGCCACATATTAAACAGATCGTTTGCCATGTGCCGGGCAAATAAATAAAATACCGCGCAAGCGGCACGCCGCGGCAGTCGCACTGCGGAAGTGCTTTGCCGCACGAGTCGAAAGTAAGTGCCACGCGGCGAGTGCTGGGAAGGCCCCGCAGCGCGCGACGCGAGTGGCACACAGCATGCGGTAGGGAGTGCCAGCGTGAGGGTCTCGCGCGCAACAGCGGTGCCGCGTGGCGTGCGGTGGAACTGCCGCGCGGCGCGCGCTGGCAGTGCCGCGCGGCGCGTGCTCGGAGTGCCGCGCGGCGCGTTGTTCGTGTGCCGCGCGGCGCGTTGTTCGGGTGCCGCGCGGCGCGCGCTGGGAGTGCCGCGCGGCGCGCGCTGGGGGTGCCGCGCGGCGCGCGCTGGGGGTGCCGCGCGGCGCGCGCTGGGGGTGCCGCGCGGCGCGCGCTGGGGGTGCCGCGCGCGGCGCGCTGGGGGTGCCGCGCGGCGCGCGCTGGGGGTGCCGCGCGGCGCGCGATGGGGATGCCGCGCGGCGCGCGCGCGCCGCGCGGCACTCCCAGCGCGCGCCGCGCGGCACCCGAACAACGCGCCGCGCGGCACACGAACAACGCGCCGCGCGGCACTCCGAGCACGCGCCGCGCGGCACTGCCAGCGCGCGCCGCGCGGCAGTTCCACCGCACGCCACGCGGCACCGCTGTTGCGCGCGAGACCCTCACGCTGGCACTCCCTATCGCATGCTGTGTGCCACTCGCGTCGCGCGCTGCGGGGCCTTCCCAGCACTCGCCGCGTGGCACTTACTTTCGACTCGTGCGGCAAAGCACTTCCGCAGTGCGACTGCCGCGGCGTGCCGCTTGCGCGGTATTTTATTTATTTGCCCCGCACATGGCAAACGATCTGTTTAATATGTGGCACCCCTGCGCACTGCCCACGTTCCATGCGCGGCCCGGTCCTCAAGTCCACGCCCATACCACGCGCCGCACGTGCCCGGCATGCGTGCGCTTAACTTCCCAGTGCGTAACACTCCCGACACGCGCCGCCCAACGCACGCCACGCACAGTATCCATGCAGCGCTCTGGCCGGGATTAATAGCACCGCTGTCTGTTATGTATATATATATATATATATATATATATTTTATTATTATATCATATAGTTTTACCGAACACGTTTTCCGCTAAGTTCCTTTCCCCGACTCGACACTCGGGCCTGGGAAGTCCTGCATCCACACGCTGTCTTCGTGCAAGCCTCAGCATGAGCATGACATGCAGCACTGTTTCTGCACCGACTTTGTGCCCATAACACAACTTTGACCCCCTCACTAACTCTTGACGTTAACCGTTCAAGCAAGCTCGTGAAGTTGGAGTCCATTTGAGTCAACTCTGAGTCTCCCACAGGCAGAAGACAGCAAGCTAGGTGAGCTTCCTGCCGTGGGACACTGAAGCTACCAACTGCTGCTGGCTACCCCACGCTGGATTTTCGACGTAATCTTGCTTGCGATAACTTCAGCCAGACGCCGCATCAGTTTAGGCTTTCTTTGCTGCATTGCTAATCTGACTTTGCACTCCACTCACATCACCAGGGACAGACCCAGAAACCTTCAGGTCTTGAAGTCTAGCATCTGAATTTGATTGACAATGTACGTGAACCGAACAGTTGGCACTTGGTAGTCCCTGCCTGCCATGCAAACCAACAGCATAGCAAAGGCTGCAAGCCTCTCAGATGTCTGCCTCTCACTCACTGACGCTGGCCCAAAATTCTACACCTCGCATCAACTGACTGTGAACTTCGGATCAGGTGACACACAGAGTTCGCCCCGCCGACCTGCCTGCTCTGACGAATCTGGCCAGGTTCCGCCGACCGGCTGTGGCCCATGTAGCCAGGTTCCGAAGCCTGGCACGCACCAAGATATCAATGCTAGCAACCGCAGTTGCTAATTCTTGCCGTAGTACGACTCAGCTTCCCAGCCGGTGTGCTTACGACCTCACGGCCGGCGTCCGATGGACGTCTTGCAAGCACGGCGCGACCTCCCGGTCGTCGACCCGGCTCGCTCAAATCTTACTCCCCGGGCACGACCTCACAGTCGGCCCATTTACTCCTATAAAAAATACATCATGCTATGGTTTGAAAACGAGGCTCCTGCACGCTCAACCACTGAAGACTTCGCAACTGCACACAACATGCCAGGAACTGAGCGAAACAGACGTGTTTTGTACCGCTGAGGGTCAAGCTGTAGCGCGGACGGATGCCGCGTAACAATATCGCTGCTTCCCATGCTGTCTCCTAACCAAGCCGCTTGCAAGCGGCCACCAAACAAGCCCACCCTTCCGAGACAGGCTGCCGACACTCTTGGCCAAGAATTGCTCTCCGCAGACCGAAGTGGTGCTCGCTTACGTGGAATATCTAAGGGCCAAGCCGGTAAAAGCTCGCAGACCGCTCTGGCTCCAAACCTGCACGGCAAAGAGAATCCAGCGTGAATGAATCCAAACTTCGAACGCAAACGGTGCATGTGCACGGAAGGTCAGAGCTTGCTTTATTTATCAGCTCGCTGCGCAAGTTGCGGGCGCTGGACTTCCTGTCAGACTCGTGACTCTTGCTTGGAGGCCGCATGGCAGAGCTGGAACTGGAATAAAATTACAGATTGGGGAACCCATGACTTCATTGATGCGGTATTTTATTTTCTTGTCCGGCCTGCCTATGGCATCATCTTGCCTGAGACTCACAGCCAGATCTTGCCCGGCACGCGGCAAGACTGCTTCATTGAAATCTATCTATGACGGGAAGCCGGGAAGAGACTCTGTCGACGTTCTTGGAAGACACTCAGGTCTCTCGCGGGGGCAAGCGCTGCACGGAGCAATTCACTTAAGAGTTCTTCCTTCAGTCAACTTAACTAACATTCTCCATTACATCATGTCATACAGAACTACAAATCAGCTCGATAAAAACTTCCGCCGCACTCCGTGCAGAAAAGATCTTGCCGCGAGGCCCGTCGCACGGGCTAAAAGATCTTGCAAGTCTGACAGCAGCTAGTACCAGCCGGGACGCCGGACCCAGCTCATCATATTGTAACCGAGCGTTTCAAAAGCGTCCTCATGTTCTGGCGGTTCAGCTGGAGTCACTGCCATCGCCTTATTACTAATGGTGCACTTGCTTCATGAGAACGTATGATGCAATACCCACTCGGGCTTCTGGCGGCCCGTCCTGCTGTGGCTCCAGGTCCCTGTCATAATCGAAGACGTCGTCGGGACCGTCTGGCTCGACCTCGTTGTCAGCTGTCTAAGCAACTTACTTACTTAGGCTACAGGCTACAGGGGTCCGGCACCTCGTCGGCGGCCAAGCGAATCTTGCCCTTCTCCGCCATGGCAGTCTCTCGCTCATCAACACCGTAGGAGGCTGCCTCTAACCGCTTCTTCCGCTGATCTTCTGTCGGGTGCCCGTCTCCTCCCTCATGTGGCTCTGGCGGTTGCGTCTTCTGGCTGCGTCTCGCCTTGGCAGCGGCTGCCATGTCATGCAGCTCTTGCGCCCGAATCTGCATGCTGTCCTTATCTCACGGAAATAAGGAAAACATGTACCACTTAAAACAAAATTGTCTTGCCATGTCATGTCTGACATGAATTTGTTTGCTGCCGGGTGCCTCTGAGTTTGGTCTCTCATACGCCCTGCGACCAGGTTCCATTACCCACAATTGCCAGGCTTCTTTGATTTCAATTGCAGGTTCGGTCGGTGTCTTGCTGGACATCGGCGACTCTGTGTTGAACTCATCGCATTCTGCTTCGTTTCTACCTGCATGCACTGCTGCTTGAAACTTCTTATTGGTTGCTGCCGGGATTCTGGTGACCCTCCGTCGCCTCGAGGCTCCTCAAGCAATGGCTAGCCATACAGAGGTGCACGCTGCTCTCTATCCAAGTAAGTGAGTCAAACGACCACTGCTTCTTTTGGACCAAGACTCATGCTGGGCTTCGTCTTCCTTCTTCTCGGAAGTGCCACCTCCGTGAGCCTTGCCAGTGCCGGACGTCTTGTCCTCGGACTGACAAAAACAGTTAAAGTTATGAACTATTATTTATATATGTTTATATTATGTTATATAATTATATTATATTATGTATATACACATATATATATATATAGATAGATTATATATACATAATATATATATATATATATATATATATGTATATATATATATATCTTTTATAATATGTATTATATATATATATGTAAGTACGTATGTATGTATTATTAAATATTATGTATTACATCTGAGAAACTGCAACTGTAAGCAAAGAATCATGCTGGACTTCTCCATCTCCCCCGGAGGAGCCACCTTGCTGACTCTTGCCAGTGCTGGTTTCCGCCTCATCGGAGTGAAAAAGTTGCAGGCCTAGCCAATGAAATATGCAACTTACAGCAGACAATGCTTGAGGATATAGCATGAGACGGAGCGTCATGCTTTCCTGCTTCGCCCCCTGAGGCTCTCTCCTTGGCGTTACACGGCTAACACTTAAACCCTGGCTCTGGATATCATCATCTTGCGTACCCGGCGTCAGCATGCAGGCCACTCTGTTGGCCTGAATTCCCGTCCTCGGAGATGGGCTGTTGCTTCTTAGGTTTACGTTTTACGTGCCACACCGTTTTGGAGAGCTCTGGAATCCTTTCGAAGATTCGGCTGAGCCCTGACGATCCTAGCTTTCATCCTCGGAGTGACATGCCGAATTGCAATTAAACGTGTTCTGATGCTGTTCTTGTAGCTTCCTGGCGTCCTACCGCAGACTCAGTCATGTGAGCCCTGACCAGACCAGGTTTCTGTCCAAGGTACAAGGGATGCCGAAGTTGAAAGGCTGACTTGTATTTTGGCCAACAACTGCTATTCGGAGCATGTTCTACTGAGCTCTTGAAACAAACGTAAGCAGTATTGTATAGAATATCCTCATGCATCTTCATGCTACCGAAGAAGATGGAGCTCTAGCTGGCGCAGTTCTTTCGGATTAACTGTCTGGCTCTGTAGCGGAACACTCCTGCCTGCTCTTGGAAACGATTCACGTTGGCCTCCTTTGCCGCCTCGTGACGAGCCGTGCTGACGATTTCCGGGCTGGCAACTTACCAATAACGACCTTCCTAACCAGAAACTATCATCGTGACTGAGCCCGTGCGGACGAAGGAAGAATCTGAGAATCAGTAAGTAATAAATAGTAAGTATGATTTCTGCAGTTTTGAAATTTTGTTCCAGGACTGAACCTAATACCTGCTCTTGCGAGCCAAGAATCATCATTTTGGGGCTGCTCCTGCTCAAAGTCGTGCCAACTGCTTTCCTCGGAACATTAATAATTAACAATGATTGATTGTGTTGGTATTAAATATTGTTAAGTAGTTGCTTTCCGAATATTCATGAAACCTTGCCCCTGTGTACCAACCAAGAATCATCATAGCCTGGCCCTTGTCCCCACGAGCTCTGGCTCCAGTCTTGCTGGCTCCAGCCTTGCTGGCTCCAGCCTTGCTGGCTCCAGTCTTGCTGGCTCCAGTCTCGCTGGCTCCAGTCTTGCTGGCTCCAGTCTTGCTGGCTCCAGTTTTGATGCTGCCGGGAGTTGCACCAACCGCTGTCGGCCTGAGAATGAAATCATCTTGAATCAAGACACACTCAGCACTAGTTGATTGCTCATCTTGTGTGTGTGTGGTAGAAGTCAGACAACGTCATTCGTCGTGCTAAATCAATCTGCTCCAGAAGCAGTATCCTGAACCAAGTTTATTGCTTGCACCGGCAACAGGGATATGTGGCAAGCTTACTCCCGTTGACTCTCAATTGTCAATCCTGCAAGTTTGAACCAAGAATCCGCTTCGCAAGATTCATGGTAGCCTGGTAACTAACTAATTAAATTAGAATATACATACTAAGTGTCAATGTTAGCGATTGTAGATGTCCGAGTCATATTCAGGACCAAGAATCCGGGTCCTGCCTTGCCTGTGAGGGAGGGTAGTAGCTCTGAGATCCAGCCTCGCCAATACTTGGCAAGTATATGATATGATGACTGCTACATTAATTATATTGTGCTACATCGTCGAAATGAAGTCTTCCTCGCGCGGCACCCCATGCAAGGAATCAACCACATTTTAAATTTACATCACATCCAATCTAATCTACGAGAACAAACCTGCGACATCTGGCCGGCACCTTTCGAACCCATTCTCACTTGCTCTTGCCGACAAGAATCGTCTTCGTGCGGCTTCTGACGCCCGTCGCCGGTGGTTGCATCCTCGGAAAATATAATTAACAACAAAATCAAGCTCATCTTGGACGTCTGACATGTGGTGTTCTGACCTGCCCTTGCCGTCAAAGAGTCCTGGTGCCCGTGGCACACATCGTGCGGGGTTTCGTCCTCGGTTTAGACACGGTGCGATTCATTATTAATATATTTATTAACTGGCACTGACTGATGGCGCGGCAAATCTGAGTTTGGACACGCACATGGACCCTATACTTACCTGGTTTTGCTTCCTGGTCTCAAGTGTTAGTTAACTCATTATTAATGTACTCTGTACGTATTACACGCTGAAGCTGCGAGATGTGACGCACACCGGATTCTAGCTGCTCTTGCCGTCAAAGAAACCTGGTGTCCGTGCTCTTGCCCATCCTCATCGCACGGCACTTCGTCCTCAGAAACCGGCAATATAAGGGATTAAGTAGTTTTATATATAATAATGCCGCAGTGTAACTTCTGAAAAAAACTGACTGTCTGTGGACATGCGGCTGTTGCAGACAAAAACTCGTGTTCTTGCTCTGGCTGCTCCTCCTCGTGGTCCTCAAGGCCCACGGCTGTGTCCTCCGAATAGATAATTACTCACAAGGTTGTATATCTGACTTTGGACATATTAATGGCAGAAACCCTACTAGTCGTACCTGGTTCTGCCTCCTAGCCTTATTAAATTAAGGTTACACGCTAAAGCTGCGAAATGTGGCGTGCACCGTATTCTGACCTGCTCTTCCAAAGAGTCCTGCTGTTCGTGCCCGTCGCCCTGGTGCTCTTGCCCACCGCCCTGGTGTTCCTCCTGCTCATCGACCGGCATTTCGCCCTCGGGTTACGGCAACCGTTGAAGTTAAGGTGCTGAAACAGACCTGGACATGTGGCTCTTGCCGACCAAGACTCTTGGTGTTCTTGAGGGCCGGTTGCTGCGCCCTCGGAATAGCAGTGTCTCAAGTATGGCAAATCTGACCTTGGACATGTGGCGCACCCCCTGTTTTAACCTGCTTTTGCCTGCCAAGACTCGCCAGCCTCTTCTTCATCTGCTGGCCACTCTTCCTCGAGCCAGCGTTCTGAGCTGATGCTACTGTGCCAGCTGTTGACACTGTCATCAGCATCCTGAGTCGATATTTGCTTGGCCTTCCAAAACTAGCTCCGTCGAAATGTCTGTAGACCGGGGCGGGTGTTGTTTGTTCCTCAGAATCTAATCTAAGTCTAAGTTGTTGTCTCTCGCTGGTGTAGCAAGCAAATCTGTTGGTTGCCGGCCAAGACTCGCCGTTGTCTTGATTTTCATCTTGCCAAGGTTTTTTTCAATATTATGATTTCAACACCAGACCGACTGCTATATCCGGCCGTACACATCTGAGAAACTGCAACGAGTCTCCTCGTCTGGCCCCACGATGTGGTCCTGCAGGTTGATGCGAGGCTGAAACTCTTTGCGAGACAAACAGAATCACTGTCCTCAGTTGGAGGTCGGGCTTTGCCAGGCTGATAGCTGCCCCAGGCATCATAGCTTAGATCGTCCTTATAGCACGGTTGTTCAGAGCATGAGGCTCCAATGGACCATGTGTTTGTTGCCTGAGGAGGGAGCCATGGTCGGGAACTCTTGCTCTGAGGGCGTCTCTGGCTCCTGTACAGAGAGCAAATGGCTTCAGTGTAAACGAAAATTGCTCTGAATCCAGCCCAGCTGCGGTTGGCTCGTCTGGCACGGGTGGAGGACTTGCCTTCGGCTGTGCCGTCTTTTTTGGCGGAGGTTCTTTCATCTGAACCGCCTGATCAGGAATCGCCAACGCACAGCAATTCATCAATCTATGTTTCACAAGTCGCCTTGGCAGGGCCCGGCACCACCGCCGAACACTGCTTTACCTGAGCCGCAAGGGTTACTCGTTCAAATTGGAACTCATGACATTGTCGTGATTCGATTGGATTGTGCATTGCAGCGCAGGTCGCCTTGCTCCTGGATGTGGGCGGCTGTGCCTCGTGGATGGGGGCGGTGGTTGTGGCGACAACTGCGCAGTACCCACAAGTAATTAATGACATTTCTTTCGCGTCTGAAAAATCATTATCTAATGCAAACGAAGTTGAATTCATTGTTGTTTATTACTTACTGCCTCTATTCACATAATAAGTACTGATGGTCAGAAGTATTTATTTACAACATTTATTCAACTAAATAAGTCAAATCAAACCTAATGTAAATTACTTATCTTTGAAAACCACTGTACTGTTGATATTTGCATTATCGTAATATTTTTTGTTAATTGCCATTCTCAGGCAAAACTTACATTGCAACGTAAGGCAG